TGCGTATTCTTAATCTCGGTGCCGCGCTTTGCACGGCGAATCGAAGTTCTCGCGAGCACGCACGAGGTCACGCCGTGTAGTATTCCGCCGAAAACATTCCCGGTCGCGGGGATCTAGTAGCCCAGGGTCGGTCACGCAAGTATCACGTTGTTATCCTTGGTCGGCGTGAGCTCGTGGCGTAGTAATTAATGCATTGTCGTGTTGCTAATAGCGTATTGAGAATCATCCGAATTGTAGAGTTCATTTTCTCCCGGTTGTACGGATTGTCATCTCGTAGCGTGAGAGAGATTTTCAGAATATAATTGTTAATGTTGCTGTTAACTCAGTGTCATTTATTGTTACCGCCTGTCCGTTCCCCAAACGGTCCTCCGTATTTTATACTCAGTAACAAACCGCCCCTTCTGCCAATTCCGTGGCTGAGCTACCGGTAGAGAGGGCCGTCGACATTCGCCGTATTTTCATGATTACGGGTAGAAATTATTTTCCACAGATTTCCTGTAAGAGTGGCACGCTCCCTCGTGCCTGGCGCCCAACTACCGTTCTTAAGAACTTTATGTGGAGAGTCTTTGCGAGCTTTAGATTGTCACTACCTGTCGAATTTTGACTGCGTATGTGCGACGAAGTTGCGCCACGCTCGTGAGTGCGGTTGCAGTATAAACTACGTGTTTGATATCCATACATTTAAATATGCACAATATATCTGCTACATATTATACACTGCTCAAAAAAATTATGGCATAGAAAAATTGTGGGCAAAAATTGGCCAATTTTGGCTAACGATAACTTTGCGAAAAATCATCGTAAGATAACGTTTTTTTTTTTTAATTAAAGTTTGATATCTCTTCTTTAAGACGCTATTGTCAGATTTTAAGTTTCATGCACCCCTACCATTGTAACTCTAAAAAATATGAGGGTGTGTTTGTCATATTGAAAATTGCAAAGTTTAACGGAATGCACGGACTTTGTAAAATTTTTTTAGGGAATGCTGTATGCAGCGACATAAAGTTCAAATTTTCCTCTTTAATTTAAAAAAAAAAAAAAACGAGTCCCTGCGATTTTTTTTCGCAAAATTACAACATCTTAAAGTTACCTTTGAATTTTTTACTTGTATCGACAGTATCATTACCTGATATGCATCACGACGAGATTGCTGTCGGATTTTGCACAGCGTGTGTGTGCGTAAATTTCAGTAACGCGTGTTGCCTCCGCGTTGCTCGATTACTTCTTGCAGCCGATTCCTCATATTAACGCAAGCCCTAATTTCTTCCTGCGGAATTCCATTCCAGATTTGAACTAGGGTTTGCGATAAGTCTTCGAGACTGAGAGGTTCTCATGCCAAATTTCGTAATCTACGAGCCATTGTGTCCCATATGTGTTCTATGGGGTTCAAATTAGGACTCATTGCAGGATGTGGAAGTCTAATTGATCTTTCCGCCAAAACTCGCGAGTAATAGCTGCGGTATGCGGCCATGCGTTATCCTGCATAAAGAAAAAACTTCTTCCTGTGCGACGATTTATATGCTGGATTCATATACTGCATCCGATTTGCGTCGTACGACGCTCTGCAACAAATCAGAAAACAGGATTCCGATGATACGAAGCAAAATCCATCGGAATCCTGTTTTCTCATTGGTTGCAGAGCGTCATACGACTCACATCGGATGCAGTGTGAATCTAGCAATAGCAGTCTCTGCACTCAGAGCGCTAGTCTCTACACCCAGAGCGCTAATCTCGCACCCAGCGTGCTATATCGTGGGAGTAGTTTAAATTTTATACTGTACCGAATGTCGCCAATGTCCGTGACAATCATTCACAATATTTGTGTGCAATATTACGGTTTAAAAACACTTTCTACTGATATTTGTGTTGTATATACTATCCGAAGAACGTACTGAAATTTACGCACACACGCTGTGCAAAATCCGACAGCAATCTCGTCGTGGTGCATATCAGATAATGATAATGTCGATACATGTAAAAAATACAAGGGTAACTTTAAGGTGCTGTAACTTTGCGAAAAAAAATTGCAATTACTCCTTTTTTTTTTAATTAAAAAGGAAAGTTTGAACTCTATGTCGCTGCATACAGCATTCCCTAAAAAAATTTTAAAAAGTCCGTGCATTCCGTTAAACTTTGCAATTTTCAATATTACAAACACACCCTCATATTTTTTAGAGTTACAATGGCAAGGGTGCATGAAACTGAAAATCTGACCATAGCGTCTTAAAGAAGAGATTTCTAGCTTTAATTTAAAAAAAAAAAACGTTATCCTACGATAATTTTTCGCAAAGTTATCGTTAGCCAAAATTGGCCAATTTTTGCCCACAATTTTTCTATGCCATAATTTTTTTGAGCAGTGTACATACGTATCATATACGTATTTCGACTTGAATATTTCATATCCATTGCGTTAATTACGTATTTAATACATTATATTTGATATAAAATGAAACGCAACGTAAATGCAATATAGATACGTATTTAATATATATTTGCAATGAAAGGTGCTGTGCGGGCACTTATGGTACTATATATGTATACCATATTTAGCAATGCGTTGTTTAAGACATTTAGCGACGCAGCAAGAAGCAAATACGCGAAAAGTAGCAGCTCAAGCTCTACTACACGATTTTTACATGGATACTTATTAACAGGCAGCTGTGATTTAAAGCAAACAATCAAACTACGAAAAGAATTATCAGAGTCGTTAGAAGCGATAGGATTTACTCTATGGAAATGGCGAGCAAATGATTCTAAAATTCTATTACACTACTAGTGACACTACTTATCAAATTTACTTATTGCATTAGGGCCTCTTTCACCACAACTTCTGATTAAATTAATCTATGATCAACTCGTAGAAATACCAACAGAATGTTTAATCAGTTTAATCAGAATGTCTCCTCTATCTTCTTCTTCTGGGCTGCGTTCAGGAATTACACCCAGATAACTCTAAGCTATAGATTACGTTAAGTATATTATAGCAAAAATGCACCCTAGAGTTATCTAGGCATAATTCCTGAACGCAGCCCTGTGTTTAAAATAAGCGCAAGAAAATACCAACTTCACGCGAAGCAGTTCGGTGTTCATAGTCGATTCTTGCATTTAAGACTGTCTTAAGTATAGTTTTAAGATGTCATAAATCAATTCGAAAACTATGTTAACACCTTAAAGGTACAATTTCATGCAGCGAAGCTTCGCTGGCGAAGACCCCCACTCCGTCGATTCGTGCGAAAATCCGTAGCGAGCGAAGCTTCGCTCATAGTTCAACACTGTCGAACTATGAGCGAAGGAATGCTGCGAAACAGAAAATAACCTACAAATAAGATGACAGACA